AGTAAGGGATGGACATCGGAATCGATGCTGTAGCACCAAAGTGTGGGACATTTTGGTGTCCGTTTCGGTCCCCCAACGTTCGGGCGCGTGAAGCCAACTACCGTAGATTGCACAAGATACCACACCCCCGGACCGAATCTCAAAACCTCTTTTGCTCCACGACGAAGAGGATGCCGGAATCAAATGATACACGACTGCTGTTGGACTGAAGATTCGAAGAAACATCTACGAAACGCCGGGGGGTGGGTGGGTGGGTGGGTGGGTATCGCTAGTGAAAAGCGAACGCGCGATGCCGCCGCCCAAAAATGCACGCGCACAACAAGTGAATAGCGTACCTGCAAACAGCCTCGTCGCCGCCCGACGAGGCCCAGTGAGCCACGGTGCACCCGTTCGCGTTGGCCGCGTCCACATCAAGTGCGCCAGCCTCCTCCACTGCCCACCTATCGTTATTGTTGTTGGTTGTAGTAGTTGTTGCTGTCACCAATCATCATTTGTCTGGTGTTGAGGTGTTGAAACAACGGGGCCAAGCGAAGCCTTCTCAGCTGTCAACGCGAGTCAAGGACCACCTGAGTCATTTCCGTGAAGTAAAAGGAGGGAGAGAGAGAATGAGGTCGGCCGTGTGTGAGCTTGATTGTCCCTCGAAAAAAATCCTTCGCAAATCTTTCCCCCCCCCCGAACCAATCCGAGACAACCACAAAGCGAAATTTCCACCACTCTTGTCTTCCGGAACCTCTCCTTCTGCGGGGCGGGTCAACTGATAAATGAACGGTTATTTGCACAATTCATCCTCGACAACAAATAAGCGTCAGCCAACAGGCAGGAAGGCGCGAAATGCTGTTTGATGTGTTGCACACCAATTCTAGCAATCATTTCGTTCGTCGTTCTTCGTGCCCTACCCTACCACTCAAAGTTTGCGCGGCCTTGCGCGTGAGGGTGTCAATTGTTATTGTCGGAGTACGCTTGTAAACTTTGGCAAAACAAGAGGGGCACCGCCGTTGTCGAACCTCGTGGCGTCGAGACCCCCCGCCCACGCTGCCCACATGACGACCGTGTTTCCCTCGGAGGTTCTCGCCTTGGTGTCGACGCCGAGGTCCAGGAGCCACCGGCAGACCTGCGGCACGGAAGAAATTGCGATGGCAGCCACGGTGAAGTGTGGACGGTGGTGAGGAGGTTGTGGATAGGTGGGCAACCGTAGATGGGAGAGAGAGAGAGAGAGAGAGAGAGAGAGAGAGAGAGAGAGAGAGAGAGAGAGAGAGAGAGAGAGAGAGAGAGGGAGAGGAAGAAGCACACACAGGAGGAAGGCGAGAGAAAGGGACTGAGAGACAGAGACAGAAAGACACAGAGAGGGAGAAAGAGAGAGAGAGACAGAGAGAGAGAGAGAGAGAGAGAGAGAGAGAGAGAGAGAGAGAGAGACAGACAGACAGACAGACAGAGAGAAAGAGAGAGAGATAGAGAGAGAGAGAGAGAGACAGACAGACAGACAGACAGACAGAGAGAGAGAGAGAGAGCGACAGAAAGACACAGAGACAACAGGGAGCGGGACAGACAAAACGGCATGCACCTACGTTGACGTGCCCGCCGGTGCCGAATCGTCTCGTCTCCACCCCGGCCACCGCCCAGTGCAGCGGAGTCGACCCGTCGCCGCCTGAATCTTGCGGCCGGAGCCCCCCCTCCCCCTCCACTAACGCCTTGCATGCCTCTACGGAGCCCCCGCCGGCTGCCCAGAACAGCGCCGTGCGCCCTCGTCTGTCGGTCTCCCAGCAGTCCCACCTGTACGAAACGTCACACGCGATTCAATGGAAACGACGAAGAGGAGGGGGGGGAGGGGGGGCTCCGCAGGTGAACGGGCAAAGAGAGACATGCAATCGGATGATAACAACAGCCGCGGTCTTGCGCTGGGCGTCCCTGGTTCAGGCGGATGCACGGCGTATGGTGTCGTCCTGTGTGTTGCCCCGCGTGTTTGTGTTCGGTTTCTGAAGGCTCAAAGGCTTGACCTCGTGATCCCAGCATTCAAGCAGGCATTACCTCGACGTGCTGCACAAGAGAGATAAACATACTTTCTCCGCAATCGCACGGTGCCAAACTACAGTTGGAGTCGCTATTCACCGGTGTTCCCATCTACTCAATAAGCCTGTTTTGAGCCATCGTGCCCTCTCAGAACAGATGGGGCGAAAACACACACACATGTAAGACGCACGTCTTCTTATCGGTCAACTGGTTAGCGCGGTCGATGTTAACTAAAGCAACACACACACACACACACACACACACACCCATGGGAGCGTAAAAGCCGCAGGGTTTCCCCGTCGCCCTTCCTGGCGGCATCGAACGGCCCCCGTAGAAACGCCTGCTCGAACCGGCGGTAGTCAGACACCTCACGGCCGGGAACCATCTCCACCACAAATCTGTTCTCATCGCATCACGCAGCAGCAGGGTATATGTTTATATAGGACGTCGGAGTGAATGAATGCCCCATGAGCGTGATTATTGGGCGTGTTATTTTACGTAGCCTAGGGACCCCTCCCGGGAGGCCATCATCATCGGAACGAAAGCCTCTTGCGCTGGAAAACCAAATCCACTACCCCTCCGTCCGCCCCCTCCGGCCACCAAGCGCGTACAGCGTGCTTTGCTTTCGCGTTGGTTTGGGCCAAGGGCGCGTGTGAGCACTCCTTCATTCAGGGGACCCCCGGTTTGGAGCGATCTGTGGGCTCTCCGAGCACCGACAGTCAGGGATCGGCCGATCGGTTGACATCTCGGCGAACAGCAACGGGACAAGAGCATTGAAAGCACCGTAGCCCCCTCTTGGGGTAGGAAACACGCCGAGATCAGCTCCGGAGGCCGGAATTGGCCCGGAAAGGTGTGCCCCCCTTGCCGCTGCTGCTGCTGCTGCTGCTGAAAAAAAACTGATTCGTCTCACGAGCGCACAGCGTGCACCCTGTTGAAAACGGACAACTGCTGCTGCTGTGTGTGAGTTCACGCTTTGTCTCGCCTGTTTACGGGCAGCTCCAACATCCGCCTCAGACCTCGGCACCCTGTCTCCAGGAGCCGATCCCCTGGCAACAGGGTAGGTAGCAGACACACATGTGTATGATAAGTGCGACAACGACGGGCGAATTCACACGAGTACAAAAAACCGAATAAAACTCTTGAGTAAAATCTCGCAGCACTGCACAAAGGACACGCCCAAACCTCACGCACGTCTCTCGGAGCTAAAATCCACGGCGCTTCAAAAGATTCATCTCAGGTAAAGCAAGCAAGCACCACCTGGGACTCTCCGACAGGGAAAGCGCACCCACACGCGCGGTCGTTCGGTCTGTCCAGGTGGCTGCTTCTGAGGGACCACTGTTCAGAACCAAAACCCACACACCCCAAACCCTGCCTCTCTCTTGCACAAGAGCCAGCTCCACCGATCCGCTTGGGTGGGCTTTCCCGGAAAGGGTTCTGCCTCTTTCTGTCTACCTGGAGGATCGTCTGTGGCCTTTGAAGCACGCCCCACGCACCTGATGGGCGGCCGTTGGAGACGAGAAACGCGTGCCTCGGCGCAATGAGTCTCTCCAGCGGGTGCCCGAAGAACTGGGGGAAGGACACAGCCACCGTGCGGACCTCGGCGCCTATCGTGTGCCGGAGGAACCGCTGCAAACAATCGAGGAGGGAAGTAGCGGGACTGAATAGGGCTGATTGGCATTTGACGGTGCCGGAGACGCTTCTGCCTGCCCAGTGGTAGAACCGGTGGAACGAGCAAGGAAACGGGGGAGCAGAACGAGCTGGTACCCTGTTTGCAGACCCAGGTGCCCGCCTACAAACACTTGCACACTACATGAGATCAACTACACGTGATCGCCCACGCACGATAAATAAATGAAGCAACACGCTCAGAAGCGCCAGGTAGAACAAGTGTGTCATGTGTTCATTTTGATGTTGTTGGGGCGCACATGCACAGAACATTCTTCAGAACGCTGGGACCAGAGATGAAACCGCCTCTCCCCGGACAAGCCGGGAGCGGCGTACCGCAGGCTGGAGCTCACAGGTCCTGCAGAGGAATTCGCTCAACGTAGTATTATGCTGCCTTGTTCAACCATTCGCTACTGCTGTTGTAGATTGTTTTACCACTCGTTCGCTACCGCTGTACTGCTCTGCCACTCTTTTTTTTCTACCGCTGCACTTGTTCTACCACTCTACTGCGGCATATTATTACCACTCTTTTCGCTACCGCTGTGCCGCATACTACAACTCTTTCGCTACTAATGCTGCACCTTGCTCAACCACTCTGGTACACAATATCGCTCACGAGCTTTGCGGGTAGGCCTAGCTTGTCCGGGTCGACGTGCGCCAGCGTCGGGAACGACTCCAGCATCATGTCCACCTGATCCGACGCCAGCCCCAGCACAGACCGGAGGTGATCCACCGCCGTTGCCTGCGGCTCCACTGACCGCCGGGCTCCTACTCCGCCGCGGCGCCCGTACGGAAGACTTCCTCCCGCCAAGCCATCATCGTCGTCGTCATCGCTACCGCCGCCGCCGACGATACCGGCCGCAGTATCAGCGGTGGTGCTGCCGTCGGCGTCCCGCCGATAGAGCTCGATCACCGGGTACTTCCCTCTCCGAGACCTACCACCGCTACCGTTGGATGGCGAAGGCGGGGCGTTGTTGTTGTTGCTGTTGTTGTTAGCGCTCGGTAGCCCGGCCAGGCTGGGAAGCCCCGCTGTCGTAGTTGGCAACGAGGCGTGGAGCGCGTGGTGGCGACAGCGCTGCCTGGTTGTAACCCCACTCTGCTCGGCGGGCGACTCCCCCCTTAACAACGGTTCCTGTATGCCTCTGTTGGATGGGTATGGATGGATAGGGGGGCAGGCAAATAACGAGGAAGTTTAGAACAAGAAATTTGGAATTTTGCTGCGAAAAAAGGGTGGGAGGCGGGGCTTAAGAACCTAGGCTCGTCTGGGTGTTGAATCTATATGCATAGCGAAGAGAAGCGATCGATGACCCAAGAGGCAAAAGAAAGAAAGCAACAAACCAGAGAGAGAGAGAGAAAGAGTGAGGATCTCGCATACTTAATGCAACAAATATCTCAATGTTCTACGTAGTATGTACTCCGTGTCGACGCCTCTGTATCTTTGAGGGTCTCCGTTTCTCACTCGGGGGGCGCAAGCACTTTGACAACAACTCTTGCAACAGCAGCGAGACCCTCGAAGCAGCTGTTCTACTTTCACTTCTGTTCACTGGTGTTGGCAAGAAAATGGAAATGGTTGTGATGTGACAGCCTGAGACAAGGAAGGGCACCTGGTTGAGCGTCACTGAGCAGGGAAGCAGAGGTAAAAAATAAACCAAATGTACGGTACTAAATCTTCTCTTCGCTACAGACAGCCTGAGACAAGGAAGGGCACCTGGTTGAGCGTCACTGAGCAGGGAAGCAGAGGTAAAAAATAAACCAAATGTACGGTACTAAATCTTCTCTTCGCTACACCTTCCAAGGTAACGGAATGCGTTTCCGTGGCCTCAAGATAAATAATCCACAGTACTTTGCGTTTGAAACAAAGCACAAGAAAAACTGCTGGCTTATTGCAATTAAAACTCCTAGGTACGGAGTTCCCTGTTGTTGAGTACTCAAGAGTAAGAAACGCAGCATCAGACTATACAATACTAAAAACAACCCCAAACATATGTTCGTATACGATAAAAATCAAGCAACGAAGCGTCAAATCAAGGGATACGGGTACCACCCAATGAGGCTCCCAACCCAAGGACGTCTAGGTTCCCTCAACGCCTCAACATCGTCCGTGATGCTAAGGGAACGCAACTGGCTAACTCAAGTCTCCGATAAACTGCAGCCCGGCGATACGACGTTCGATGACGGAATCTCCTCACGATAATTTCATTCACTTGGAGTTCACGTTTCCACGGATACTCTGCCATTCTACTTTTTCCTGTCTATAGCCACTTCCCTTGTAAAGCACGCGCAAGACCGAGGTATCTACAGCACAGTACAGAGTGTGCGCAAAGTTCGGAACGATTTCGTCATGGCCGCACAGTAAGCAGCATCTGCGGGGCCCCCTGGTTCTGAAAAAAAAGGCTTGATGCATCATGTGCTCACAGCTCCTACTACTGTTGTACTGCTGTAGTCTACAGTCTACCGCCTGGAGCCCTCCACACGGGGTGTAGTCTAGACTGTTCGCGGCTCGTGATTTGGCCAACAACAAACAGGTGAGTCCTAACCCCGAACAGACGTATTTTAATCCACCTGAAGCAGTCGTTGTGCTGGAGCCTCGATGGCAGTCTTGGCCGCCTACTGCGCTGCAGATCACCTCCTCGTCGCAGAGCCAACGTGGATGACTCAATTGAAAATGACAATCCCTTGACGAATTCTCCAAAAAAAAGAAATGGGGTGATCGCGTGGCGCGAGGAAAGGCGCATGGTCTCGCAGAATTAGCGTGCAGTGTGCCCCTCGTCTGCTCTGCGCTGCTCTGCTATTTTGCCGCTGGGTAGATCGATGCCACATGATCGCATGTCGCGCGCGTGAACCCGAAAGCCAACCTTCCTCTGTGTGAAACCCAGAATATGGCGGAGTTCTGTCAGGCCACCCAGCAGGCAACCAGGCAACCAGGCAACTAAATACGGTGCAGCAGTGGACGCACGCATAGAAAGAACAAAGGTCTGCTTTGTGACAACATCCTTAGAAACCCTGTCAAATTAATGGCGGGGGAGGACTGAATTGAAGAAATTGCTACATCTTCATAATATCAAGCAGGGCGGCAACAAAGTGCTCTCGCGACACAGAAAGGGCGACCCGGTGTAGAGCCCCACGGAGTAATAGGCAGAGGACCGAGGGAACAACGGGTTAGAGTGGGCCTCGGCTAGGTCAGCGTGAGAGGTGGGTCGTCATTTTCGCATAACGCGGATTGTTCGTCCCTTTTGGACTACAAAAGTGGGTACTGCTGTAGACCGACTACTGTGACATCCACATCCAGAGAGAGGCTCGTATTGCCGAAAAGGGCTGCGTGCAGATCTTGTCAAGAGCTTTCCTTGCACTTATCGATCGTTATTGCACGCTGTTGGTTGTGGATTAATCAAGTTTTGAAATCAGAGCGAGGTTTGGGGCATTACTTGTTTTCTTTACAACACGCCATTTGTTTGACTTCCTGACCATGGACCATGTGGGACCGTGGACCATGGACCATGGACAATACTGCATATGGAACAAAGCAAGGGGCACCGTCATTGGTCCAATTCCGGTGTTGGTTCCCAGTCCAAGCGCCGCAGGAAGAACCCTTTTTTCCTCACTGCACTTACGGAATAACAAACCATCACCTTCACGCCCACCTGTGGAGAAAATACATCTACCTATGCCACACACGCAACCATCTACACCTACATACTTTCAGCGCCATTTTGCATCGCATTCTTGAGCGTGGCGGCGTAAGCCGCTGAACCCCTATTGTTTACAATACGTACATTGTTTTTTTTTTGTTGTACCGTAGATGAATGTCGACATCGAGGAGCTTCTCCGTCTGGAGAACGAGCTCAAGGCCTCATGTGAAGGTGAAACATCGCCTGTCATTCTAGACGCCAAGATGAATATCCTCTCAAGTGCCTCCAGGTCCGGACGGTCGTGCAGTTTCAACTCGCCTACGACGATTTGTACTACGAGCTCAACAAAGAGGGAGGGCTTGAATGCCTCCGCAGCATCGCCCCGGCTCGGTGGACGGGCATCGTCCAACCCAAGGTCTTGGACCCACAGAACTGCGAAGAAGGCGGGCAACTTGAAAACCAGCTACAGTTCTGTCTTGCGGACGCTGAGCTTGCAAAGCCGCATTTGGACGAGCTCGTAACGAAGGTTGCACACGACTCGAGCAAGTATAAGGTTCAATGCGCGGATGTCAAGTCATGGGAAAGCACGCGACGGAAAGCCAGCAACTCCTATGGTGGGGACGTCAGAAAGGTTGCTGACATGACCAGGGTGACTGTGATCTGCGCCACACCGGAGGCTCTGAAAGAGGCGTACTTGGCTATCATGGAATTGCCCAAGGTGAGTAGTAGGACATGCAGATTTGCGGTGTTGTAACTCGTTCGCCTGAAATAAAATTGGTACTTAGGCAACTTTAAGAAACCAGAAAACACCTTGTTGTGCTGCTTGTGTTGTGCACAAATTTAGCGATCCGATAACGACCGTGATGCTTGGGGATTTTGTGTACCCGATTTCAAGTTCGCCTTCTCGTTTAACTACTGTACGCCTAATTTGCTCTTTGTGTTTACTAGTCATTCAGGTCTTGCTTGCTCTGCCGTTATGTTGCTAGGCTCGGTGTTAGCCGGAATTGTGCATCCAGACTTTGACCAAGAGATAGCCCGAAAGATCCTCACAACAAAGTGTAGCGGATGTTTACTGTGAGTATCACATCTAGACACCTAGAGATCGAGTCGAGTGCGCGGCAAATATCGAATGGCCCGTGGTGGAGGTTGAGCTGGGTTGCAGCTCGGTGGAGTTCGGCTGCGACCAGTGAGCCAGAGCGGGCCGGGCAACCCCCAGGTACAAACCTCGGCGGGAGTGCGGCTATACCACACTGAGAACGGAGGGACATGCTGCGGTTCACTCGTTTATGGCCGCCCCACGAACGCGCGATCAGCATTATCGGAGCCTCTGATTTCGATGATTCTGAGCGGACAGCCCGTGGTACTGAATACGGATTGCTACTGGATGGGCATCGACGTTTTCAACGTGGGCATGGCTTTACCCTCAGTGACATAGCAAGCCAGCGCTGATGGTGTGCAGAGCACATAGAATGTTCACGAACCAGCCCCGCCGTTGGTACGCAAGTTTGGACTCCTCCTTTTCGTCAAGGTTTCCTTGGCACCTCCATTTAAGGTTTTGTGCGTGCGCCTCATTTTTAAGGCCTCGTGCGTGCGATCGCCAGCAGCGCGAAAACATGCCCAAGAAAATCGCCCCCATTTTTGAATCAAAGCCTCATCTGTAACTCGTCATTACCTTGTCGTGGGAGCGCATCTCCAATCGCCATGAAACAATATCGATGAAAAAATCCAAAAAGCAGCTATCCTCCTAGCTATTCCGCAGCAGTAATTCGTCATCTCCCGTAGATGAGAGAGTACAGGTCAGCATCCATACTACCAACGAGTTGTCCCCAGTATCTGAACTTCTTCGAGACCTGCAAGTGGCCATCCTAAAAAAATACTCCGTATTCCACACCGTTCAACTCAAGATACGACCTGGTTTCTGCTACCGTTGTGAATCTCTCATACAGCAAGATATTCTGCGGGTGAAGAACGGCTTCAACTCCGACTGGATGCCTAGCGGGTACCGGGATGTGAAGCTGAACCCCGTCGTGAACGACCACGTGTGTGAGATTCAGCTGCACCTCCGCGAATTCTTCGCGTTGAAAGGCGGCCAGCACGTCGTTTACGAGTGGGCGCGGGAGCTCAACGTGACCACCGACATGCGTGGCGAAGACCTGTGGAAGAACCTATCCCCCGAGGTTATGAAGGAGATGATGCGCCTGGCTGGGCAAAACTGGCGTGAGACTGGGTTCTGCCTACCGGACTTGCAGCGCGCTGCCGGACAATACGATCTGGCCGAGGAGAGTCACCGAAAGGTGCAGTGCGTTTTGGAGATACACCAGTTGTGGGAGATACAGGTTGCACGCATGTATACAGCAGTTGGCGTCTTATCTTGTGTTTGCACGTATTGTGTATGTTAGAGCACCTCTTCAATAGACACGTTGTCGGCGTATGGTATGCCATCTATTCACAACATTTGTTCCCGTGCTTCCGTTTGTGGTCTGTAAAACGCACCAGCTACCTAAGGGTGCCGAGAACGACGCACGTGTGGCCGAGGACTACGACAGCAAGGAATCGAGACGGGCATTGCTCCGTGCTAACGCAGCCAGGGCGAGGCTCGCCCTTGTTTTAGAGAAACAGGCCAGGGCCCTTGTTTTGGAGAAACAGGTCAGGTGCAACAAGCAGCTCAATTCCGACCACTATCAGAACGCGCCGAGGGAATGTTGTTAGGCGGCACATGGCCCAGCGTATCTTGGCCCGGGGGGCCGCAACGATGTTTGGTTCTCTCTTCGCTACTCAACAGGGCTATGAGAGAGAGCGAGGGGTGCACTGCCATGTGAGTCGTGGCGTACCTACCGATGTGTCAAAACTACTGGTTGACCGAACTCACTCGCAGCCTGCACACGAAACACGCAACCGCTCCCTAGCAACCACCCACCGCTTGTTCCGCACAGCAAGCATGCTGAGGCCTTGAGCTGTCATAGGCCATACGAGAGAGAGAGGGCGCTAAATTCGGAGCACCCCGGTGTTGCCCTGTCGCTCAGCACCCCCCCCCCGGCTGTTGAGCCTTGTTCCTCCGAAACATATGCCGTACCCAACCTTCGCGTACGCCCTTTCGTTCTTGGCCCCCCCCTTCCAGGGAAAGTATACCGAGGCGGACCCTCTCTACCTTCGAGCGATTGAGGTTGCGGAGAAGCCGCGATCACCCAGATCCGGCCACCTCGTTCAACAACCGGGCGGAGTTATTGAGGGCACAGGCGAGAGTCAAACGACTCTTGTATTTATATGCTACAGGAAGAAAACATTCCTGCAGTCAATTCTACAGTAGAACAGTTTGCCTGAAATCCGACTCTCTGCCGCGCTGTTCGCCGCATACAGTACCATGGCAAGTGCTGAGACCGACCCACTCTACCAGCGGCGACAAACCATACGAGGGACGGTTGTGGACCTGGAGCACCCTGCTGTCGCCCAGGGGCTCAACAACCGGCCGGGCGTGGATGAAGATAGTGTTTCTCCGCTGTTGTAGACCCCTTTCTGACTGAGCTACATTTATACTTCCTCTGTATCATAAGTCTGTGCCGTTATGTTTTTGCGCCCCCTTAACGGTGTCCGATCTGTTTTCCGATTTTTTCGTTGAATTGTCCGTCGTTTTATTGAGCAAGAAAAAACACTTTTCTTTTTTTTTAGTTGGTGCTTGAACCATGCGGCTGAACGGCCGGAAAACATTGAGTTGGCCTAAAAACGGCCATATTTTGCCCTTTTCCAGGTAGGGGGTGGGTGGGGCTAAACGCCTGTCCCGCCCCCAAAAACTCAAGAATTATCCCCACCCCAAAGATAACCCCCCTCCTATACTCCATCAGCCAAACGCGCCCCCCATACTAAAACCAGTATAATAGTGACCCCCACACTCAAATCAAGACACTTGGGAGTTACACACTAAAACCAAGACACTTGGAGGCCCCACACAAGAAACGAGACACTTGCGGGGCAACAAACAACAGTAGTGCCCGAACCCAACCCCCCCCTCCTACTCAACGATACGTGCCGCGTCCGCCAATACTCAAACCAGTATAATCGTGACCCCACACAAAAAACAAGACAATTTCGGTTCCACATTAAAACCAAGACACTTGGATTTCCCACACTAAAACCAAGACACTTGCGGGGTAAAAAAAGTGTCTGTTGCTGTCGGGGGAAAAGAAAGGGAAAAACTCGATTAGTCGTCCTCTCTGTCGCTGGGACTCGATGCCATCCAGGCGTAAGCCTTCTCAAAAGCCTCCTTATCGTATTTTACCACCCTCTCCAACGTCCCTTCCCTCTATCGCTTTCTGACCCCGGTGTGTTCTACTGCGAAGTCGTAAAATTCTCAAAATAGTTCTCAATAATTTATACCGAAATACGGCCAAAATGGGCATATTTTGACCTAATTTTAGTGTGTAACACGGTCTTCGATTTTTTTTTTTTTTAGTCATCTTCGTATGCTCTTTGCCTTTCTAACGCACCCGGTCAAAGGCTAAATGTCAACGTTTAAGTACCCCAACGACTGAGCGCCCATAACGGCACGGACTTATGATACAGAGGAAGTACAACTTTTGCCACGTTTTCTACAACTGTATGCCAGGGCAAACACATTGAGGCCGAACCACTGTATGAGCAATCCCACGCGATATTAAGGAAGGCCTTGGGTCCTGGGCACCCGCATGTGGCCGTAACACTCAACAACTGGGCGGGATTTTTCGCGGCACAGGTGAGAGAGTCCAATGAAATTTTCAGGAATTTTTACGGGGCGTGCGTTTGTTGGCATCTTATTTTCGATGTTTTGTCCACTCACTTACCCCATCCCACTCCTTGTGTCACAGGGCAAATATGCCGAGGCCGAGCCACTCTATAGGCGGTCACAGGCCATTCGAGAGAGGGTGTTCGGTCCGGATCATGTTGTGGTTGCGACAGTGCTCAACAACCGGGCGGGGTCGTTGACGATCCAGGTGAGAGGCAACACGATGCTCGTATTATGTAGAATATTCTAGAAGGAACCGTTCTCCCCGCAATTTCTTCTAGATCTCATCCTGACTAAAAGTCCGACTCGTTGTTGTTGTTCACCACATCTCAAGGCACAACCAAACGCAGACAAGAGCCATTCTGTGAGTGGTCACAGGGCATGGGAGGGAACGTTCTGGGCCACTCTGACTACACTATGTATGCATGTATGTGGCACCACTTTGCGACGCCGTCTGCGGCAGCGTGGCATGGCAAGTACCTGAGGCCGAGGGCCACTGTACGAGCAGTCTCAGAGAAGGTGCTGGGTTCGCCGCAGAAGCCGGATGTGGCCACGACGCCCAACAACCGGGCGTGCTTGTCGACAATTTGCTCCTCCGCAGTTCGATCTACCCTTGATCTCATTCCCATCGCGTTGCCGCCCCCAAGTTTCCAGGGTAAGTACGAGGAGACAGGCGCGTTGAACGTCCGAGCTTTGGGGGTGCTGGTTGTTGAGCATTAGTTCATCCGAAGTGAGCTCTACTCGCCTTGACCACGTTCGCACGATGCCTTCATTTCCACTTCCAGGGCAAGTATGCGGAGGCGGACTCTCTGTACCTTCGAGCTATTGATATTGGAGAGAAAACGTTGGGCCCTGACCACCCAGATCTTGCCGCATGGCTCAACAACCGGGCGGGGTTGTTGAAGAAGCAGGTGAGAGCCGTTAATTTTTTTCCAGGAATTTTCTTCGGGGGTGCCAGTGGATGTTGTAGTCCTCAGCAACCGGGCGGAGTTGTTGGGGTCGCACGTGCGAGTTGAAGAAATGAGTCAGAAGACGTTTTAGGGCGCGAATTGCGCGGCGAAACGTTCTGGAACTGTTGGCTGCCACGTACATCATCACCCCTCTTTTCACAGGGCAAGTACGCGGAAAGCTGAGCCACTGCATGAGCTGACCACCAAGATTTGGGAGAAAGCGTTAGGTCTTGAGCACCCAACCGTTGCCACAGCGTATAACAACCGGGCGGGGTTGTTGCGAGCCAAGGTGAGAGCCTGTATGTTTTTCCCTGGACATTTCGTGGGGTTCAGAGATACGCCGACGCTAGTGATCTGCCCTTGTCCCCCAAGTTTAGACAAGAATTGACGGCATGCGCGGGACCGTAAGTAGGTGCCGGGATGGACGGAGGAAGTTTGGGTGAATTCTCGTCTCGCCGAAGTGGTCACGACAGAGAAGTCAATGGAGGAAACAATGGAGGAAACGAAGGACGGGCGGGACCACGTCGTCTGGCACAGGAGGCATCATCCAATCCAATACCCACGGTGTGGAGTCAGAACACAACAGCTAGAACGTTTTACCGCTGGGTGACCGAGAATCCACTTCGTATTGCACAGGGCAACCACGCTGAGTCGGAGAGACTCTACAAGCGGTCACAGGCCATACGGGAGAAGGTGTTAGGTCCGGATCACCCTGATGTGGCTTCGGTGCTCAACAACAGGGCGGAGCTGTTGCAACGCCAGGTGAGGAGCACGCGTTGCTTCTACCGCAGGTGCTTGTGGAGGGCAAATATTTCTGCTTGTTGTTCTAGAACTCAATTTGGCTGCTGTAGACTGATCAGACTCTCTGCCGCGTGCGTTGTTCACCTCATACCATGACGAGTATACTGAGACCGTCCCACTCTACGGGCTGTCATTCCAATCCTGCCTCCCAAAACAAAATAGCCTATGCATTTACATAATCGACTCTTGAAAACGTTTTTCTATTAGTCTGGCAGCCAGCACCCTGAGCTCACGGAAGCTACGCGCACGAGACCGCAGCGGTGCCTTAGCGCGACCGAAACCTCAACTTTTGTCGTAGGGATTTCAAACGAAGCGACACAAGCATTGCTTTCTAAACGTCTGTCCATCATTTTGACTTCTTGTTGGAGACTTTTTTTCTTCTCTTCTTCGCCGCAGCTGAATTCTCTTGGCCTAGCAAAGCTACCACGACAAGGTTCTCTGCTCTGCCTCCGCGTACACCAGCCCTCGCCAGCGCACCGAACGTTTTCACTTCATATCACAGGCTTAAGGCGGCAGCAGCAAAAAGGTACAACAATCACGTTCCTCAAACGGGGCGGGGTTGTTGAGCATGTATTGCTCCACAGTAGTGCAATTTACGTGTGTTAACATCATTACGACCCACGCCCGTCTTTCCCTTACATTCCAAGGCAAGTTACGCAGAGGCCGAGCTGCTCTGTCAGGCGGTGGAGCGCAAGACTCTGGCGCCTGAGCATCTACATTTTGGCTACGACGCTGACACCCGGCCTTTGTTGAGCATGTATTTGTCCTCCGGATTTCTTACCTCGACCACATCCTGTCTTCTGCAACCTAACGCTACATTCCAGGGCAAGTATAAGGAAGTAGACTCTCTATATGTACGAGCGGCCGCCATCAATGAGGCAGCCCTTGGCCCACAACACCCACGAGTGGCTGTGGACCTAAACAACCAGGCGGGGTTGTTGTACCGGCAGGTGAGAGTCATCAGAATTTTCCAGGAATGTTCCTGTGGTACAGAACGGACCCGGGGACAACAAACGTAAAAATCGAGTCGAGCCTCAATTCCTTATTTTGGGTCGAACGGCTGCCGGGGTCATCCATTTTCTTTCAACGGGTTTCTCAGTGTTTGGAGCTGTCTTGTCCTGCTGGTTTTCTTACTGTCGATTTTCTTATTTCTTGCTTTTGAATACCACAACAAGACTCATTCTGAATTCTGAGGACAAAAAAACAACTTGTTCAAGCCCTCAAGAGGGGAGGCGGAAGGTGAGTGCTATCAATATACCTATGTGGTGGCCCGCGGCGGCTTTTTTTGTTTTGGCGCCGGGGGGGCGCCGCGAAAGATTAATTCTTCCCCCCTGGGACATTGCACTACAGCTACATTAGGGGGTGAAAGCAAATCGAAAAGTAGGACGCGACCCCTTACTTATGCCTTGGGGGTATCGCACGATCATGGTTCTTATTGGAACGTTTATTACGTTGTGGCCGAGAGAGCTGTGTTTCTACAGCACGTGCCCGGAGATAAGAAACGTCAAAATCGGGTTGAGGCTCAATCCCTTGTTTGGGGTCGAAGGACAAGCCGAAGTCGTCCATTTTCTTAAAAGGCATTTCTTATTCCTTTGGACGGTCGCATCCTCCTCATTTTCTTATTTTTTATTTTTTATTTTCTTGTTTCTGGCTAAGGATACCACAACACACCGAACATTTATGGAGCATTATCCAGAAAGCTCGGTGTGGCGAACATTGAGGGTTGTCCCCCTCCGGGACTTCTTGACTCCCTCTTCCTGGTCCACCTCTAGAAACACCCACACCCCAATGGCTGCAGCTTCATCCTTGCTATAGAACTCCAACGGCAACTTGACGCCTCCATCCGAGTGCAGCGTGACGCAGTAGTCGTAGGTGTGAGGAGAACTTCGAGATGCTCTACAAGTGATGAGTCCCCCGAACCAACCCAAACCAAGTTTTACGAGCACCCCTCGCTTCACTCAGGACTGATCAAGGGCCGGTGGTCGAGACGCCTGGAGACGAAACCCGTTCGGGACACCCATCCTGAGCATCTCCTCCTCAGACGACAAATCGTCGTCATCGTCAATCTGGGCGAGGGGATCCTCACTGCCGTTGCCCGTTGGTGATTCGGTCGCTCTCGTCACCGCTGGAAGACCCGTCCAACGATTGGTTGTCCAAGTTACCGTCGCCTTTTGTCCATTGCGGAAGGGCTGCTGTCGCCTTCCTCGTCCACCTCACCAGAGCTGTCGTCATTCTACACGTCCATGAAGGTCCATGAAGGTGTACGGCCCGGAAAGGCCTTCGAGGTTGATGCGGTCATCCCCAGAGCCGTCGGCCGTCATCGCCGGGCCGGTCTTCTCGAAGAGACGGAACTGAAAATATGTAACCATCCTCCCTCCCCACAAAAAAAAAAAAAGTGCACTGTTCACAGCTAGGTAGGGGGGTGGGGGCACGGAAGGAGCAGCTGTGGGGCGTTTCTTATTGGACACGCTCGCCCAGCTACCCGTTGTTTCTTATGTCGTGAGGGTATCGCACCATCATGTTTCTTGTTGGGACGTTTCTTATGTTGTGGCCGAGATTGAGCTGTGTTTCTTAGCCCTGGTTTCTTATTTTTCGTAAAAAGTTGAGCCTTTTTTTCTTAACAGAATTTTTCTTTATCTGCGGGCCCGTACTGTACTGTAGCTCTTTTTTCTAGTTTTCGCAAACATTTGAGCTGTTTTTCCTTCATGGAATTTTTCTTAATCTGTACCCTGTGGATGTTCAACAACCACATGGAGCAAAGACGTTGTTGAGCAAGCATTGTTTCCCGTGCGTGTACGCATGTATGCCCCCCCACTTTTTTCTTGCACAAATTGTCGTCACGTTCTACAGGGGATGTATAACGAGGCGGAGCCGCTGTTCAAGGGCTCGCTTGCTGTATTTGAGAAGGTTTGTGGTCCTGACCACCCTGAGGTCGCCACAAGCTTACACAACTGGGCGCGGGTGTTAGAGAGCCAGGTAAGAGCCGTGGGATTCTTGCAGAAGAAAGTTTTTGGTTCCCAATGTACTCGTATGGCGTCAACGCATTTTGTGACAATAATCCGTCTTAAGCTGAGTTTCGCATGTGTGGATGAGGTTTATTGTGCAATCTGGCTCGATCACGTCTTCCAACGTGTTTTGCATTTTGTCTGATGGGGGAACTAGCCGCTGTTTAGCCTCGTTGACATATGCTGTCGCGTACAGAAAGCGCCCGCACTAAAAGGGACCTCCAGTTTTGTCGAGGCTGCGGTGCTTGCAGTACTGTACTGTATTTGGCTCCTAGGGTTATGCTGCGAATGATCGCAATGTAGGATTTAGTGTAGGGGTTCTTACACAAATGAGGCTCAAGTTGTTGGATTTGGAGTTTGTTGAGGCTCAATTTCTCAACTGCCAACTTCTTAGTTAAGTCGGGCGCTGTACGTGATTATTTTTTTCGTCCTAGCAAACATCTCGAATGTCCCGCAGGGCAAACACAACGAGGCGATTCCACTTCTGGAGACGGCGTACTCCATCCGAAGGACAAGGATGTGGAAGCATCACCAGTACACGACCGACACTCAGACCGGCCTAGAGCGTGTTCGACAACATGTCCGTGAACAGGATTCTAATTACTAGTCGAGGAAGCCTGATACCCTAGGAAATAGAAAGTGATTCGTTCGGTGTTGCCGGTGTAACGGACAGAGTTAAGCACCGGATCGAAGGCGCTTCCTCTGTGAAAAAGGGGTCGCTCGTTGAACGCGATCGAAACAGGGCAGGGCAAGCTTCTAATAGCGCAGAGTGCCTCTTGTGCTGCAGGACGCAGCTAGCTGTGTAGCTTGCACCACATTGTTCATGTCGCGGAAGAAGTCTTGCTGTATTCTCGTCGGCGTCGCGCTCGGCCTGTTGCTGGATAACACGAAATAACCCAGTGCTTGGGTCCTAGTCTCTGTCGCTCCTCGCTGTGTCCCCGGTGCTTGCGCCGCATGAATCATACACGAAGTGGCCATCCTTCGTTCATTCAAAACTGCCATGTCTTGGAATGCGTGGGCTGTTAGCGCCGTAGCCGTGAGGCAGGATGGTCCATGTACAAACCACGCGATATCCTGAACCCGATGTATATTCTGAGTTGAGATTTTTTAGAGAAGGCTATGCTCAGTGGCGAAGTCTCGTAGCGTAGCGTGGTACATAGTAAAGGGCTCAAGCAGGTAGGACTGATATGCCTCGGCCTTGTATCGCAGCGACAAACGTGACTGCACGTCAAGCCTGGGGTCCGTCTGGAACATTGGCGGTGCCTTGAACCGCTCCGGAGGGTTGGTTGCTTGTGGGTTATGGGAGATGCGTCAAACGTGCAGCTGGGGGATCGCAGCCAAAACGCAAACAACGTCGCCCCGACAACCGAGACAAGATGGATCAATAGCACATGCGCCTTGATTGCATGCAGTCCATGAGGTCGCGAGCACCCGACAAAGGCCTTGCATGCTCATTTCTTATCCCTCTGTTGGTTGCCTATTTGTGTTCCTTCTCTCCTCTTCCATCAAGAAACGGAAATGTTCCAACGTTCGCTCGCCTGGTTCGACTGCCCAGCGGAAACGCCGCGCAAGATACGATAAAGCGGAAAGAACGCCGTCCGTACCGACATACAGACGACTCACCACCCACCCATTTTTTTGCCACATTTTATATCCCAGCGGCCGATACACCCCAACCCATGGGTTTGACGATGCAAATCATCCCATCACAGCTCACATCAAACGACAACAGAAAACAACCGTTCAGCACACAATATCCCGTTTCAACGCCCCCTACATGCACGCACATGAACCCCAAAACACTTAACACGTCTGGAGAGCGCGTCGAGACCGGGGCGCATGTCCCACCAAGACGCTGCTACTGGGGCAACCCTGTCCCGCTCCCCCCCCCATTAACACCCAGTGCGGCAAAAACTGGCCCGTGCAGCTACTACATGATAAGAGAGGTGAGGATGACAGCGGTCGTTGTATCATCAAATTTGGGTTTCTGCTGCGGCGAAATGCCAGGCCGTTGCCTCTTGGCGGTGACCGCGCGTGACCATCCCGACACACCACACCAAGTCTTACGGCTCTCGCCTCTCGTCGACGAACGTAGGTCACTTCGTAAGCAGCCATGGGCAGCCGTGGCCCACGGCAATCTGTACCACTTCGCAGTGCTGTTGGACAACAACCAATTTCCACCGTGGAGGGATGAAAACAGCTTTTCATTTGAAGAGGGAATTGATGATGAACACGAATCTCCGGAGATACAGACGCCGCGAACGTTTCGGAGACAGACACCGCCGCGTTTCTTATCTCTCCTCGCCGCCGTCCTCCGTAACGTCTACGCCGTCGCCGCCATCCGCGGGAGCAGCCCTCCCCCCTCCCCACACGAGACCCACAACCCCGCCGACGACCCCGCCCACGCGCCGCCCGGCTCCCCCCACCATGCTGCCGGCGCGCCTGACCTGAAGAAGGAAGAAGGATAGGCTAGTGAGTGAGCGGCACAAGGTACGAACGTTAACAAGAGCACCGCCACGAGAGCCAACAAATTGTTGGAAGCGCAGGCGGACGAGAAACGGATCGCGACGGATCGCGACCGAAACCCATCCAAGGGCAAACAGGCACGCATGGAGGTACAGGAAAAAACGAAAAGTTTTCCTGTGCCCATTGTTTAAGAAGAGATACCTGGGGGGGGGGGTTGTGAAAGCTCCTCCTATGTGTCAAAAGTGTCAAACATATCGTTTTTCCAGGAGGGTGGAGGGGCTCAAGATAACAGTGTCGCGGGTACGAATGAGACTTGCCGCCATCGTCCAAACAGGGTACACGGCGTCGAAACATTCGGATCACAAAAGCCATTCCTTCAGACAGCCTGGCAGTGGCGGGCAATGGCGCGGGCAGGTGGCAACATTCGTCGTTGCCAGGCAACATTCGTCGTTGCCAGGGAGCATTCACGCTCACAGCACCTGATTCAAGGTCAAAACAGTGGTGGAATATGGGCCGAAAAGATCTAAACCATCTATTTACCACGTATGGTTTTATGTACAAGGTGTGAATAGGGATTCAGGAATGCAGAGGGGGCTCAAAAGCGAGAAAGGAAACGAACCAAATGCACACAACCTCACCATGGTCTTCTCTAGCTCCGTGATACGAGCCTCAACGTCTGCCACCTCCTGCTTCGTGAATTGCAGGATGGTCGAGATCACTCGGAGAAGGCTGCGCTGCTCCCCAGCATCCCGGGTAGACATGTACCTGACACAAACGGGAAAAAAAGCAAGGCCAGAGCAGCAGCCGCCGGCAAGAGAGGATAGTTGAACGAGGGCGCACGCAGACAGGAACTGGGGGGGGCTAGAGGGTACGTTGTCCTACAGCGCCAAACGTCAAGCCGTGATACCTCCGACTTCGGGGTAGCAATATGTCTGTTGCTCCATCGTAACCTATCCCGGCTACGCGTGCGCCACCAAGCAAGCATCAGCCGCATGGGATGCATGGGTCTCGAGGATGGGCAACACAGTTGGCGGTTGGGGTTATATCCCGTAGCGCTGCCAAGCGTCCAATGGGTTTTGCAGAGGTGGTGCGAGTGTCGACATTCACTACCAACGAGACGGGAGAACGGCGCTTTGGTTGGGTGTACGAAAAGGCAGTCAGCTCAGAGGACCCGTCGCAACAGGTTCTATGCGTTCGCTCTCCCGAGTCAGTCGTCAGACAGGGACGTTTGTTGCCAATTTTTTGGGGTCTTGACATAAAAAAAAAAAGTTCCGGTGCTTACTCATTACAGTACCTTCTAACATCAGCAGGATGGGAGGGTAGAGGGTAGAGGGTAGAGAGGGGCTCTTCTGCGTGACCACGGGTTGGAGTAAACGGCACTAGTGCTGTGAGCGCTGATTTGAAGTGAAGACAAAAAAAAAAAAAAAATCCGGTGCTTAACTCATTACACTCGCCTACCTTCTAACATCTGTACCGGTCCAATCGACGCGAACGCCTTTGTGCAATCTGTCGTTTGTTATTTCGCGTCATGCGCCTACACATCCCATCATAGGATCGGGTCCTCGATACGATATTGCCGAACGTGAAGGACAAACCCGCTGCACTACAGAGCTCCTGCGTACGAGTAGACTCAGGATCCTCAATTCTCCCATTTCTGTGGGAACAACCCGCTGCGCTACAGAGCTCCTGCGAACGAGCAGACTCAGGATCCTGAATTCTCCCATTTCTCGTCTCACCTAACGACTGCCGACTTGAGGTAAGCCACGTTGATCGGTGCAGTTTCTCCGCTGCCAAGATTCCTGTTCGAAACAACGAAAAACAACGGCGGTGTTCGTTCGAAACAAGACATGTCCATCGGTCTGCCAAATAGCCCTGTGCGGAACCACGACCAACACCTTTATTTGACATCGAAGACAGACGTGTCTACCAAAATCTGTTGTGGTAGACCTGCTCGAAAACAACCAAAATAACCGGTGATAGCCCTGAGGCAGACACGTCCATCAAGTCTGCTACAGTAGCCACGAACGTCCTGGAGACTGATTTCTCAAGACCGATCCCTTTCTCGATCATGACAACGCACGCCGTCTTTCTGTGCGCACCAATCAAACGGCATCCGGACCACCAACCACTCACTCCGGCCCAAAACAACAGCGGTATGCCCTACACAACCTAGAGTCAAGTTCCTACAGTAAGGGGCAACCCGCACGCGCGCGAGCATCCCCTCAGACGGCGGCAACTTGAGCGGGCGGGAGCATGATTGGGTGGGTGAGTAGGTCCCACACATTCTTCATCCCACGACGTTCATTTTTATGGCACCGCAATATCCACAACGTGCATTGTGCCTCGAAGTCACTACCACAGGTAGAGGCCCCTGTTTTTGGAGCTAGGCTCGTGTATGTGTGTCTTTACTGTTAGCATCGACCGCGCTAACCGGCTGACCAATGAAAAACGGCCAGTCCCAGCGGCTAAAAAGGAAGCACGTTCTACAGGCCATGATCTGGGACCCCGTGAGGGGATGTCATGGGGGAGGCCGTGTGTGTATGTGTCTTTTTTAAAAGCATCGACCGCGCTAATTGGCTGACCAATAAAAATACGTCTCACTGCGTTGGAAACACAAAATGTGTGTATGTTCATATTTAGCATCGACCGCGCTAACTGGCTGACCAATGAAAATTCGCCAGTCTTGTAATCTAGTAAAATAGCGGGATAAATAAATGAGAACACTTTTCTAATAAAAGGCTAAGGTTTCTACAGACAGGGGGGGGGGGGGGGGG